GGGTGGAATACGGGCGGGGGTTGATTTTCGCGGCTTTCCTGGGTAGGAGGCAAGTTCGGTCCTCGTTCATGGCTGGCATGGAGTGTGTACGATGGGAGAGTGGGATGGAGTCGTTTATGGGGGCATAAGTTCGGCCTGTGGGGTCCCTCCGTGTCCACAATCGACGAGGGGAGGCGAGACGAAGGGCGGTGGCGCAATGGATGCACGGCCGCATTGCCCGCGACCCTTCGCCTTTCGTCTCGCCCGCCTCGATGACCCTGCGTTTTTCTTGTCTTTTGGTGGAGCTTAAAAATGACCCTCAGCTGGCCTTGGCGCTGCGTCTGTGCTGCCGTCCACCCCGCGTGACACGTGTTTATAAGGACGCGGGCGTTCTGCGCAAATGCACGACAACACTCTCTCTCTCTCTACCTCACGCAGTCCCCGCCGCCCGCTGCGCTTTTTCTGCTTTTGGTCGCTGTCGTCTGCGCCACTCGAGTCGCCTTCGTAGCCTGCATACGCGCCTTCGTCACCATCGTCGCCATCGAGCCTTTTTGTTCAACATCGCCACCGTCATTGCCATCGTCGCCGCGTCTGTCGCCAACGTAGTTATCTACACTACTTGCGTCTTCTTTGCAGTCGTCATCTGCGACATTCTCCTCGACGAGCACGTCTTTTCGCCCGTCGTCTTCACCACCATCGTCGCCTTTTCGTAGATCCTCGCCTTCGTCATCCAGATTGTCATCGTCACCACGGGTGCGTCTTGCGCCAGGTCCTCACGCGCTTCCGCACGCGGCAAGGCCGCCGCCAACCTCTCACAACAACCGTCCACCCGGGAGAAGAAGGGCCGCCACATGGCAAGCAAGAAGAGGAAGATCCTCGAAGGCAACTTGACACATGGAGCTGACGTGCTGGATGAAGAGTGGGTGCCAGAGGACGTGGCGACGCAGGAGGGGACGGATTTCAAAGACTCTGACGACATGCCGTTGCAGCGGAAGTCGTCCAGGCGGGGGAGTGGCGGCATCCGCATAAACGACGCTGGCGAAAGACGACGGGCTGGAGGGCGGCCAGCACCGGAAGACGTCCTCGACGTTGACGCTGCGACGGCAGCCAGAGAGGGCGAGGGAACTCGCGCGCCACTGCCACGTATGACTCCGCCAACCGACGCGCAAGAGGGCGTGGTTCGCTTACGGACACCGCTGACACCAAGCTCGAGGACGGCTGCAGACGTGGCCTTGTCGGGCAGGCCATTACAGGCAGCGGGAGGGGTGAGGGCAGGCGGGGCAGCGGGTGGGGGGGGATCGCACACGGCAGAAGTGGCGAGGGCAGGCAGGGCAGCAGCGGGGTGGGGGACACACGTGGGGGACGTGGCGAGGGCAGGCGGGGCAGCAGCGGGCGGGGGCGGCGCACGCGGAGGTGGCAAGGGCAAGTTGCGCAGTAGCGGGCGGGGGGTCACCCACGAAGGGGGTGGCGAGGGCAGGCTACGCAGCAGGGGGGGAG